CTCACGATCAAACGTGGCAGAAGAGGAGCATGCAGCATGCTTCCATCACCTCGCTTTCTGATTGGCTACACATGATGATAAATGACTCGCACTTATTTAGCGCCTTTCAGAGTCAGAGGACTCCAAAGCGCTTTACACTACAGTGTATCATTCATCCATTCACACACACATTCACATGTTACATTCAACGAGCAGCACACTCATTTGTCCTTAAAGGTGTGGTTGACTGAAAACCCTTCTTTTAATGATTATTTCTGATTATAATTGATCACGCTGAGTTTTTCATGCAGGCTAAACATGAAACTAGCCTCCTACACCTATCTTCTGCATTAGCTTTTGAGAGAAAATAGACGGTAAAACGCTAATATAAGCAACTCCAAAACATGGCAACACTCCTCCAGGCTTGTATTTGTGGAGACAAAATATCAATGTTGCAAGTCAGTGGTAGTTTCACGTAGCTGCTATCCAATTCAAGGATAGATATCTGAATATTAGGAAATAAGACTCCAAATCCTGATACCTGAAGCACAGCTGTGGTAACTTCAGTTCCTGGTAATTGGTGCACCAGTATATTGTTTCCCCTAGAGAATGATTTATTCCTACTAGAGACCACTACAAATGTAATGATTAAATAAGTCACCCACACATTTGAAATTGGGGCAAGACGATTCAACACGTTGAATATCTCAGATTTATAACTGCAGCACAGCGGCGGCTCCAGGAAATAGGAAGAAATAACAACACTCTTGCAAATTTTCTTCTTAATTTAGAAATAAATTGGTAATTATTCCAAAACTAAAACAAATATTTAAATATTAAAGAGAGAGAAACATCACTGACTTAAATCTCTGAAAAAAGTCAGATCTAATCTTAGAATTCTGACTTTTTCTCAGAATTAAGGCTTCATCCTCTCAGCACCTCTGTAATGTGCTTTAAAAGGCCTTAGCTTGAACCAACACAAACCTGCACCTACCTCATCTGTGTTAAAATCTTTGGGTTTTAGCATGAACCTGTCTAAGTACTGGGGGGGGGGGGGGGGGGGGGGGGGGGGGGGGGGTCCTTCAAGAGTTGAAGTTGATAAGCCGTTGCTTGGCCCCGTCTTGCCATTGCTTTAGCAACCCCTTGCTACCGCCTGGCACCCATACTGCAGCAGTCCAGATGTGCTTTTGATCAGGTCAGAGCACTCCTAACGCACCACACACAGCAGGTAAATTTGATAAGATTATCTTAAGAGCCGTTACGATAATCGATCATGTCCTTAAGAATGTTGGGAGTTGAAGATCGAGTAAAAATAAAAACAGCAGGATTATTTAGCTGTGAACTGGGCCTAAGCCCTAACATTTAGTTCTGACGTAAAAATTACCAGAAATCTTTGATGTACAAGGTGTGTTAATTCGACACATCAGGAAGCAAATGCTGTATGAGTGCTGTCATGAGTTGTCTCATTCGACTATCTAACCAAACTGATATTCTAATCCATCTACCTCGCTGCATGCTTTATGCCTGAAATAACTAAAAGTTTTGGTACTAGACTGACAGCAAATCAAATCTCTGTCTCTAGATTCTGTCCATGTGCATTCTGATCCCTGTGGCGTCCCGCCAACCCCTCTGTGACAGAGGTGTGTGACCATACATCGATCATGGTGATCAGATCCAGCCAGGCTGCACCATTTCGTGTTACTTTATTGTTGTTTTTTAAATATTTGTTTTGGTTTGACAGTCATGGAGTGCCAGGTTTTAGTTTTGTTCAGGCCTGAATAAGGCATCATCTCTGTTTAGTAGATATTGTGATGCTTGATTCTTCAAATTGCCAATTAAAATGCAAAAGATCTGACACCAGATGTTTGAATTCGCTGTAATATGTGAAAAGAGGCAGTAGTAGCTCAGGAGGTAGAGCAGGTTGCCTAGTGATCAGAGGACTGCAGGATTGATCCCAACTCCCACCAGAGTACTCCTCTGATGCGTCCTTGGACAAGACACAACATGATTTGCCTGTTTATGGTGGCCAAAGGGGCCAGTGGTGCACATAGCAGCCTTGCCTCTGTCAGACTTCCTCTGGGTGGCTGTGGCTACGTAGTAGCTTACCATCACCAGCAGTGTGTGAAAGTGCAAGTGCATTAAAAATGGAAAGTGCTTTTGAGTGCCTAAAAACCACAATGTAAATCTAACCTCTTGCTATTATTGTTAATGAAAATGACACACTGCAACTGTAGAAAAGCTGCAATTCTCCACTGGAGTCATTTGAGGCTTTAGGATTTTTTTAAGGCATACGAAGAAGGTCAATACTCCCTGGGCTATAGCTGGCTGTGTGTGTGTGTGTGTGTGTGTGTGTGTGTGTGTGTTGGTGAGGTTAAATGTCACTGCTTCAGCTGGCCTGATGCTGGTGGCTTCACACCTCCCTGTGGAGACATTTTTATTCTCCGATTGTAGCTCTACAAGAGACAAAACCAAATCCATCACACAACTGGGAATTAGCATGTCTGCTGGGCAGAGGAACAGGCCCAGTCCCAGTGTCTTTACTGGCCTGGTTTGTGTGTATAAATAGAAAACGTTCATCTGAATTTTTAGATTCTGCTTCTAAGCAGTTTGAGCAACCCTGTTGAGACTTTTTCATCAGTTATAATTAGAGTTTTTTGTGTTCTGAGAGGTTTTGTTTCCTGTCGGCCTTTGATTGAGTCAACCCTTTGGATGTATGCTCTTCTAGCCACTTACTCTTTTTGTAATGTTTCAGTTTAGACAAGTGGTTGCGCCTCGCGCACTGCTTATTGTCACGTAGTAATTTGTGGCCTCATTTGTCCTTATTTGCGTTCATTTATAGCAGACTAGCAATGCTTTGAGACGCTAACCCTGACAGAGGGCTACACTATGATTTGCTACTAGACAAATCAGTACATTCAGTGTTTAAAACCAATTCAACATTGTTGCTTAAAGAAAGATGTGGAGACAAAAGGACGATAAAGGTGCAAATAACAGTAAAACATCTGAGCAGAATCCAAATGTGTCTTGCATTGATGCACCAGAATTTATGAGTTTGAACAGAAGAAGTCATTGTGATCAAATAAAAAATACAGTAATCTAGTTTCTGTCAGTTTGTCACAATGCTTTTGGTTCAGTTACATGAAATGTTTGCAATCAGACGAGCCGTCTTTCTGCTGAATAACTCATTAAGGATTTAAATAAGAAGTCAGGGCATGTTTTGCCTCTTCTTCCTGAAACAGTTATGGTAACAGTGATGAAACTGAATAATAGTTTAGTGCAGTGGCTCCCAACTTGGGTTCTGGTACCCCCCAAGGTGGTCCCCTCATTTTTGTCTGTGCTGAGGTTACCAAGACGTTTGAAGTTACCAAGATTATATTTGTACAAATTACATAAGTAAGATTGTGCCACATAACCTCAGTCTGTAGAGAACACCAGACTTCCAACAACAGCAGCAATGCAAGTAAAAGTAGTGGGAAGCTTTTTACTGGTTGTACCTCTTGGCAGCAATGTTGTATTGGATAATTCAGTCACATTGGAGGGTTTCCAGCAAGAACAGCCTATTTAAGGTCAGATGTTCTCCTTCAGGATGTTCTAGAGATCAGAATTCATGGTTCAGTCAATTATTCGTGTGGTGAACACGCTATTGCCATGTAGAAAGACCCCAGCCAGGTGGTGAACGTGTGATCTTCCTCCTGCCCAGCAGCAACGAAGGTTTATTTAAATTTATTTGGTATGATTGTGTGCCGATGAATGGCTAACTCTTACTTGAAGCACTCATCTGGCTAAACCAGTGGTTCCCAATCATTTTAACTTGAGGACCCCCTACCACAACTTCTACCAGCGTACACACCTTAGAAGTGATTCATTATATTTATTCAGACATACAGAGTTACAACTATACAGAGCTTTGATTATACATTGGGGTGTTTAATTGGGATTTTATAAATGTAATAAAGTTGTAGCACTCAGCTGTTTCTATTTCTCTGATATAATTGATCAGAAATCTTTGTTGCAAAATGCAAGAGCGCTTGTTGAGGGGAGGGCCCGGGTAAATGCAGAATGTCTTATAATTCCATATGGAATTAAATTAAAATCATGGCAACTTTCAGACTTGGTGGTGGTAGTGTGATGGTCTGGGGCCACTCTGCTGCATCAAGACCTTGAGTAATTGATTGAACCATGAATTCTGATCTCTAGTAGAACATCCTGAAGGAGAACATCTGACCTTAAATAGGCTGTTCTTGCTGGAAACCCTCCAATGTGACTGAATTATCCAATACAACATTGCTGCCAATACAACCAGAAAACTGCTTCCCACTACTTTTACTTGCATTGCTGCTGTTAATTTTGCTGTTGTTGGAAGTCTGGTGTTCTCTACAGACTGAGGTTATGTGGCACAATCTTATTTTGTTCTGGTACTTTCAGATGGAGCAATTAAAAACTGTGTTTTGTGTGTGGTTTATGCAGTTTAGAGATTAGAACCTTGAAAACTGGTAATTTAGCATCTCAGTGATATAGAAATAGAATACTCTGCTCAACTGCTCAAGGCAAACTTCCATGTCAGTAACACATTCTCCTTTCAATTCAGCGAGTCGGGGTAGCCTGTTTGTTTTATGCTTTAGCAAGCAGGCAGTTTGATAAACTCACACACAGACACACACCCCTCATTTGCTTGCTATTCATGTACGTATTTGTCTTGCTACGTTCAGCTCTTATTTTATCTTTGTTTATTTTAAAGGTCACGCGTCTTTGTTGTTTTGTCAGTATTACTGCTTTTCAGAGAGATTCCTGCTTCAGGATCACATATCCCACTTGTGTGAGTGTGATTGCTGCACCAGCAGCAACAGTTAGGAACCGCCAGCAGCTCAGCAGCTGTTGGTTTGTAAACACACCGGTGATGTGAGTCTAAAGAAAACTATCATGCTTGACACACAAGTACACACTAGCACATGCAGAGAAAGTAGTGATGCGATCACAACAGCTTTTGTGTGTGTGCATGCGTGTGTGTTGTTATTCCTCACCTTGCCCCTGTGTGTGAGACTCCTCCACACCACTTGTCTCTGCTGTGCTGTCCTTCATTTAAATCCGCCTCCGTCATAGCAACACTCCTCATTTCATGCTTGCATTTGTGTGTGTGTGTGCACGCGCAAACATGTGTGTTTGTGTGTGTGTCTGTGTGAATGCACAGGTGTACCGCAGGCAGGCGTCAACCAGGCTGGCAGCGTTGGAGGAGGCAGTGGAAGGGAAGACGGCTTCTTGCCAGAGGGAGATCCTTCACCTGCAGAGGCTGCTGAGAGAAAGACAAGAGGCTGAGGAAAAACTGCTGCAGTCCAAACGGTAGGAGGGGTGAGAGAAGAGGGGGGGGGGGGGGGGGATAATGTATGTGGAGATGTTTTTCATTAAATAGCAGGACAACAGTTTAACATTTTTTATAGATTAGAGTTAATAGTTTTACTAAGTTCACCCATTAAGAATAAAAAATAGTAAAATATTACATTTTCTTTTCACAGTTATTAGAAAAAACAAAGTTCTCCATCTTTTATTCCATGTATCAAGACACACACGTATCTGGTTATTATTAGTCTGTAAAAGGATCAAATCTTATTTCAAGACGCAGGATAGATTCCAGGTTTAAGTGGTGAAAAACGAAGTGCCCCCTGCTTCTTCTAGATGATCTAAGAGGTTTCAGGGTTAGTCAGGGGCAGCTGGTTGGAGAATTGATTAACTGATCATCATCAGCGTGAGCTCCTCCATAAAAGCAGGAGCTTCATCAGTTTGCTGGTCTGGAGCATACAGGCTGTCGGGCTGATCAGACTGGATGAAGGAGACGAACAAGGTGAGACGTTTAACAGTTTTATTATTTCTCCGGTCGTATCTCTGTGAGGAAGAAACGATGACTGAGATGAGAAGCCGGTACCGGCGTCTTCCATATATAGCCTTGCTTGGCTGTGACGTGGAGGGAATCCCCGCGAGGAGCACGCTGGGAGCTCCCCATGAGGAGCATGTCGGGAGTTGTGGTCCGAAAGTCAGCCGGGAGATACCTGAGTCCTGACAGGACCCCCCGGTCCAGGGACGGCTCCAGAAGTCCCAGCGCGACCCCGGCGGACCCAGAAGTCGGAGATCAGGGAAGGGTCCAGGATGGACCGAGCCGGCTCCCAGGAGCGTTCCTCGGGGCCATAGTCCTTCCAGTCCACTAGGTACTGCCAGCCCCGACCCCTGCGGCGAGCGTCCAGGATGCGCCGGACGGTGTAGATAGGCTCACCGTCGAGGAAGCGGGCAGGAGGCGGCGCCGGAGCCGGAGGCGGGAGAAGGGAGGACTCCACGAAGGGCTTGAGCCGGGAGGTATGGAAGGTGGGATGGATGCGGAGAGTAGCCGGCAGTCGCAACCGGTACGTGACCGGGTTGATGACCCTTTGGATGGGGTATGGGCCGAGGAACCGAGGAGCGAGTTTCTTGGCCCCGGCACGGACCCGAAGGTCAGCCATGGACACCCAGACCTTGTCCCCAGGAGCATAGGAGGGACCAGGACGGTGTCGACGGAGATGCTGGCGAGCATAGCTGGTGTTAGCTCTGGTTATGGAGGCTCGTGCTTTGATCCAGGCGCTCTTGCAGCGTCTCACCATGGCTTCCGCTGCTGGAACGGCGACCTCGGGTTCTTGGTGGGCAAAGACCGGGGGCTGGAAGCCATAGCAGACCTCGAAAGGGGACAGCCGAGTGGCAGATGAGGTGTGAAGATTGTGGGACAGCTCCGCCCAGAGGAGGTATTTAGGCCACTGTGAGGGTTGAGCCGAGACAAAACAACGAAGGTACCGACCCAGCTGTTGGTTAGCCCGCTCCGTCTGGCCATTGGTCTGCGGGTGGTAGCCTGAGGATAGACTGACCGATGCTCCCATCAGCCGACAGAAAGCTTTCCAGAACCGGGCCGTGAACTGGGGCCCCCGATCCGTGACCACGTCGACTGGGAACCCGTGGAGGCGCACCACGTTCTCCAGGAACAGTTCCGCTGTGCGTTGGGCTGAGGGGAGACCCGGAAGGGCGATGAAATGGACAGACTTGGAAAAGCGGTCCGTAACCGTCATGACAGTGTTGAGGTTATTGACCGACGGGAGACCTGTGACGAAGTCCAGCCCCACGTGGGACCAGGGGCGGCTGGGCACCGGAAGAGGTCGGAGGGCACCAGCCGAGGCCTGGTTGGGGTTCTTGGAGCGGGCACAGACGTCACAGGCGCTGGTGTATTCTTTCACATCCCTCGCCATGCCTGGCCACCAGAGGGCTCGCTGGAGGAATTTAAGAGTTCTGGAGAAACCAGCGTGGCCAGACAGGCGTGATGAGTGGGCCCAGGACAACGCCTCGCTGCGACAGGCCGTGGGGACATAGAGGCGACCCGCGGGGGTCTCAGGAGGCGCGGGGTCGTCCCGGAGGGCGTTCTGGATAGCTTCCTCCAACGGCCACCTCAGTTGGCCCAGGAAACGGTGTTCCGGGAGGATTGGCGCTGGCTCGGACGAGGGCGAGGAGTGGGTGAATTGGCGGGAGAGGGCGTCCGCCTTCTGGTTCTTGGCTCCCGGGCGGTAGGCGAGATGGAAGTCGTAGGGTTCAAAGAAGAGGGCCCAGCGAGCCTGGCGAGGATTAAGCTGCTTGGCAGATTTTATGTGGGTCAGGTTCTGATGGTCAGTCCAGATCGTGAAAGGCTGAGTGGTGCCCAGAAGCCACTGCCTCCATTCCTCCAATGCCCATTTTATGGCCAGTAACTCACGGTCGCCCACACCGTACTTCTGCTGGGTGGTGGAAAACTTCCTGGAGAAGTAGGCGCAGGGATGGAGCCTGTCGTCGGGCCCGCCTTGAGACAGGATGGCGCCGGCGCCGACGTCAGAGGCGTCGACCTCGACCACAAAGGGGACTGCAGGATCTGGATGGCGGAGGATCGGGGCCGAGGTAAAGCGGGTGACCAGGTGGTGGAAGGCCCGAATGGCGTCGGGAGTTAGATGAAACGGCTGGCCAGGGGAGCCTGGTCGAGTGAGAGAGGTGAGAGGGGCTACGAGGGTGCTATAGTTCTTTATAAAACGGCGGTAAAAGTTGCAGAAACCCAGAAAACTCTGCAGTTGTTTCAGGCTGGTTGGCAAGGGCCAGTCCTTCACCGCCTGGATTTTCTGAGGGTCCATGGTTATCCCTTCGTCCGAGATCCTGTAACCCAGGAAGGATATGGACTGCTGATGGAAGGAGCATTTCTCGGGTTTACAGTACAGGTTGTGGTCCAGGAGCCGGGTCAGGACGGCGCGAACATGATGGATGTGTTCGGCCTCGGATTTGGAGTAGATCAGTATATCGTCCAGATAGGCGAACACCCACCGTCCCAGCATGTCGCGGAGGACATCATTAATGAGACGTTGGAAGACAGCAGGGCTATTGCATAGTCCGAAGGGCATAACCAGGTACTCCCAGTGGCCGGTGGGTGTTATGAAAGCGGTCTTCCACTCATCCCCGGCCTTTATACGGACCAGATTGTAGGCGCTCCGGAGATCCAGTTTCGTAAAGATCCGTGCCTGGGAGATGGCATCCAGAGCGGTAGTGAGGAGCGGCAGAGGATGGCGGTCCTTGACCGTGATCTTGTTCAGACCCCGATAGTCTATGCAGGGGCGAAGATCGCCTTCCTTTTTCCTCACGAAGAAGAAGCCAGCGGCACCCGGAGAGGAGGAGGGTCGAATGAACCCCTGCTGGAGGGCCTGGGCGATATATTCTTCCATCGCTTTGGTCTCGGGAGGCGCGAGAGAGAAAAGGCGCCCGCGGGGAGGACTGGTTCCGGGTAGCAGCTTGATCTCCATATCATATGGCCGGTGAGGTGGCAGGGAGGTGGCGCGCCGCTTGTCGAACACCGCGGCCAGGTCCCGATAGGGCAGCGGCAGGTGGGGCGGTGTGGAGCTGGGGCCCCCGTCCGGAAGACCCGCCGAGGATGGAGGAGGAGCGAGGTGGGTCTGGCACGAGGTCCCCCAGCCCAGCAGGCGGTTCTGGGACCAGGAAATATGAGGGTCGTGGAGACGGAGCCAGGGGAACCCCAGGATTAGGGGAGAAGAGGGAGCAGAAATGATCAGGAAATGGAGGGTCTCCTGGTGGCCTTGGGTGATCATACGGAGTGGCTGGGTTCGGTCTCGGACTGGGTAGGGTTGGAGAGGCCTACCGTCCACCGAGGTCACTGGTATAACCCTCTCCAGGGGTTGTAGGGGGATCCGTAGGCGTTTTGCCAGATCCAGGTCCATGAAATTGTCCGCGGCCCCCGAGTCCACCAATGCGTTTACGTGGAGTGAGGCCTCACCATGGAGGAGGGTGACAGGAATAAGGAGACGGTTAGTAGCGACAGGGGTAGAAGAAGACCCAGACTGAGCGACCCCAATACTCAGTGGGGCCCCCCGTTTCCCGATCGTCGCGGGCAGTCCAGGCGTCGGTGGTCGGGAGAGCCACAGTAGGCACAGAGGCCCTCGCGCCACCGTCGTTGTCTCTCCTCGGGGGGAAGGTGGCCGAGCTGCATGGGCTCCTCCGTCAGCATGGGTACAGGAGCTGGCGTGGGTGAACGAGGGCGAGGCACCGGCATCCTGGGGGGACGCGTGGATAACTTGGGTCGAACCAGAACCCGCTGGTCGATGCGCAGCGCCAGATCAACCACCTCATCCAGGGTCTGAGGCAGCTCCCTTCCCGCCAACTCATCACGGATGTAGGGTGCCAGCCCCTCCAGGAAGGCGGCCCGCAGAGCGGAGTCATTCCACTGCAGCTTGGCGGAGATGGTGCGGAACTCCGACGCATAAGCGCACACCGAGCGTTCCCGCTGGCGGAGTTTGAGAAGGCGTGTCTCTGCTCCCACTTCGCTGCTGGGGGGAACAAAGGTCTTCCGGAGAGCGGACACAAACGCAGCATAGTCGTTGCAGGCAGGGGATTTGGAATTGTAAAGCGCAGCAGCCCACTCCGCGGCGCGTCCGGAGAGCAGGGAGGTGAGATGCGCCACTCGGGAGCGCGCAGATGGGTAGCGTCCAGGTTGGCACTCGAACTGCATGTCCAGCGTGGCGAGCAGACCATCAGGGCTCCCCGTCTCTCCGTTCCACCTCTCCGGCAGGCTGAAGTGGGGCTCCTCCCTAGGAGCAGAGCGGGTTGGATGCTGGAGTGCCGCGATCTGTTGCTGCTGATCGTTTGCTTGTTGTTGGAGAGCCGTGAGAGCCGTGGATAGACGCAGGGTGTGGTCGGACAAGGAGTTCACCTTGGTGTTGAGCTGATCTACCATGGAACGCAGCTGCACGTTCTCGTGGCGGAGACGATCGATCTCCGTCGGATCTACTTGGATCTCAGTCATCCTG